TTTTCGAGATACACACACAGACCATGTACTACGCTAGAATAAATACGAAACCGTTCGTCGTTTAACCCTCCATCGCAACGATTTTTATTTTATCTTTCGAAAAGAAAGTATTTATGAATTAATTAACATTCGCTCTAAACGATAAGTGACTGAATCCGCGGGCCCGCTGTATGTATATTTGCCACCGCGCCAAATCCTATAGAATTTCCTAAACGAAATTTACAGGAATCGTTTATTTTATCGAGCTTCCCGGATCCGGGCAAATTTATGCGCTGGAGGGTTAAATGTTCTGCCCCGCCAGACGATAGGAATTTTCGTTCGTGGACGTCGAATACACGTCAACGTGTTCCCGTATAGGGAAACGCGTGATGGGACCGACCACCCACGCACCAGGTCACGAAGTTACAGTCTCTACGCGCTCTTATCGTCCCTGAAGACTTCGTTTCGACGTCTTTTCTTCGCGAACGAAAGGAACAGAAACCGGCTGTGCGCGCGCGCGTGTCTGTTTGTGACGAGTATACATGTGTGTTGAGTGTTTTTGTGCTAAATTTACACGTTTATATGTGAATACGACCAATGTAGATTACGCGTGTGTGTACGTGTCTGTCCGTGTGTACGCAAAGGATCGAAAAATCGTGTGAAAGACACGCGGAACGAGCAACTCCTATCTTTTTTTCGCCTAAACGCTCGTAAAGTAAATTGTGTGAACGCGCGTGTATGCGTGTATGCGTATGTGTGTATGTGTGTGTGTGTGCGTGTGCCTGTGTATCTATTTCTTTACTTATACGCGATGTATGCGCGCAATATTCTCGTATACATTGTACGCGCTTATCCACAAACACGTATGGAAGCGCTCGAAACATCGAAATATGCCAACACGTTCCTTGCCACGAGATCTTCGAAGTAATTTCTCTGTTAACGACATCTTAATTGTTTCGCGATTTCTGCATCTAAAGTTGAGAGTCGATGACACGGAGAACGACGTCTTTTCGCCGTCCAAAGCTGAAAGCCGATGACGTAGTTCTACGTCTTCATGATTCGAGCAATCATCTAATAATCGTACGCGTTGAGTGAGAAATCGTTGGTTGATCTTTAGCTCGCGGTAGTTAGCGCGTCAATCACTATGAAACGTTACAGTGTATGCGTGATTAATAGAGAGACGCGTCGACGCGTGCTCTGTTTGCAAATCACTCGAGATTTCTTTACGCAAATTAGAATGTCTTTTAAAGTAAAAGTATCTTTAACGCGTTAAATACGGATCACGCTTGTCTTCATAGATCACTAACGATGCATTAATAATAGATCAACCGTGACACAGAATATTTTTTTCATAACAATTGTACGAAAACATTTAATTTCCGACACATAATGCATCGATAGCAATTGGCAAGTCAGTTCTTAACGCGTTAAAATTGTTTAGTAACGAAAATAGCTATCCTTGAATTTTATCGAACCAGAACTGCTACTGCAAACAGAGAACCAATGTCAAGTAATTATAGAGACATTTACGCGGTATTTACAAACATTTGGTATAGAGGTTTTCGAGAAGATCGTGAAATATCAAAGATTCGAGACTTGGAGCAAACGATAGTAAATATTTTGGACTCTGTCCTAACTCGATTCTCGAAGAATCCTGTTCGATGTTCACCTTTGAAACATATAATCAGTGTCGTGTGTTTTTAACTTAATATTATCATAAGTTACGTACTTCGATTCTATAAAATGCCATCGTAGGTTACTTCGGTGCGTGGCAAGGAATGCGTTAACCCTCTATAATCCGGATTATTAGTGGTTTACGAAAACAATCGTACAATAGGGCATCGATGAACATTGAGAACAGAATATCAATTAAAAAGTTCAATCGTATTCGTCATACAGCGTAAGAAACTAAACCGGATCGATCGGTGGCTGCGTTTCTTTAGAGCCACAATGGCACACGTTGATAAAAAAAAAAAAGAAAAAGAACAAAATGAAATCAGACTTTGAAAATATAGATACACGAGTGCGCGACCTTTGTAGTCACGTAAGGTCAAAGAGGGTTAACGAAAAACCAAAAGGAAAAATGCGAGACGTACGCGTCGCGTGCACGTTCTACACCCCGGGAGGGTGGTTTCGATCGCGCGCATACACGCAACGACTGGGACTCGAAACGGGGATGGAACGTTAGGGGTTGACGATCGTTCGCGAAAGAAAGGCTGCGAGATTCGTTTGGAAAAATCGTCCAAGTTGGAGAAAAACTCGAAGAAAACGGGGAAAAACGAAAAAGATGATGGTAACGACCGAAGAAACTCGTGTCTCGACTTGTTAGGCCCTCGTGCGTCCTCGACATCGAGATTCCGTCGTACGGCGTCGTCCTCGAGAGGGACGCTCGTTCTCCGAACACATCCAAGACGCGTTAATTACACTTTGATCGCGAACCGTGTGATTCTCACCATCGGATCACGACCGCCTTTTCGTGCCTATCGCGAAACGTCATAAACGGGGGTGCGAAAAAAACGGATTGAAATAGTGGAAAGTCGTAGAAAAACGATGAACACGCAAAAAGGTTCGAACTAGGCACGAGAAAGCGATCGTTTTCTTTCGTCTATGTTATCTTTTTTTCTTTTCTTTTTCATTCGCAAGCTTATCCCTTTAACGTCGTACGCTCGTTTTAGGTAAATCACGTGTATAACGTATGCAACATCGCTAAATAGTATATATACACACAAGTACAGTTACGGATTAGCGTTCACATTTATCATACCGATAGACAATATTGATAACTTGGTTGTATTTTTCATCGTGTATTCGGCTAACAATTCCTACGTATTCTAACCGCTAAACGTTAACTAAAGTTGTTGCTTAACCATACACCTTGTTTATCATCGCTTATGCCTTGTGTCTCGCTTACTTCTCTTACGTACATACTTAAAACAAGTACCTAAAATTAATCCTTCGCGTAGGCATATATACTCTCATCGCGCTTCCGATCGACACCCGTTCTCGTGGAAAGAATTCTCTGTCGCCTAGGACGATACCGGACTCTTCGTTTTCGCCGATCGACAGAATCCGGTTCGTCCAACCAGCCGTATTATCGCACGTTAGAATTGGTCTATCGGATTATCGGTGATTATCAGTCCTTTAAAAATCGACGTCGTCGGCATACGAATCGGACGAAAAGGAAAATGAACGAAAACGATGGTAAAACGCGAACTCGAGCAACACACAAACGATAGAGATACGCGTGGAACGAAAACGGAAACGTTTGGCCGATCGATCCTCGCTCGATCGTTCCTACCCTCGAAAGGCACGAAAAAATCTTCAAACGTCGCGCTAGTTTCTCGTACGTTAACCCGTTAATCGTGCAAGACGAGCCAAATCGTCTACAAATTTAATTACATTTGTATACCGTTTCAAATAATACCATACTTTTCAGTACTATATTTTTTGGTAAAAGATAAAAAATAGAAGTCTCTTCTATCAGTTTGCAAAGTAAATTGTTCATACTTTTTCAAGAATAATTCGGACCTAAATTAATATAACTAAAGTTTCATTTATGGTCACGCTAAATCATAAGATACATTTTCTCGTTAGTTAGCTCGTCTGTTGCAAATTAACTTCACAATTAACGGATTAGTTCGACGGCAAACGCATCGGTTCGACGGTTGGTCGTGTAGAAAAAGGTTTGTCGGAAACTGTTCTGTAGATCGCATTTCCGGTGTCGCTTTTCTTTTTACAGCCTTCCGCGTGTCTCGATTGTTTCTTGTCTCGCGGAAGGATCGGGAAAAGGTTCGTTGTGTATTGAAAAAAATGACACGCGTCGGAAAAAAGTCGCTTCGCGAGCGACGCTGGGACGAATTATTATTGCGGAGGGGACGAACGATCTTTTCGATCGATCGATCGATCGGCCGCCATTGTCGCGCGCTGGCACTACGTGTCTACGAAGGAACAAAAAGTCTGGGTACTCGATATTTGGCACAGATTAAACGGAATTTCGGCCCGCGTGAGATAAAATTTGTCGTCGAAACAGGTGCACCTTAATGTGTGTCAAATATTAAGCATGCGTGTTTTTTGTGGCCGCGGTATTCGCGTACGCGTGTCGGATATCTGACCGTTTTCTTCTTTGTTTTAATCGTCCATTCTCTCGTTACAACAACGTTCGAAATAGTAACCCCCGTGCCCCGTGGTAAACGTCGAGAAGAAAAAGAAACTCGTGCGCGTCGGTCAAAAAGTAAATCATCGCCTGGCGTCGTCGTCAAGTGTATACTTTTCCATTATTTTTTGTTTTTTCATTAATCTCGTAACAATGTAAAAAAAGAACGTAAATAAGTTTTTATGTATATATATAATTATATATATATATATATATATATATTGTATATATTGTATATTGTATATATATATATCTATATACATACATATATATGTATATACACTGGAGGATCAATATGCATGTATATACGTATACATCGTGTGTATGCATGTATACATCGGTAGAATACATCGTACGCAGCCTTATAATCTAGGATTATTATTATTATTAATATTAATATTATTATTGTGGTAGCAAGTCGCTTAAGTTTAGAAAAATGAAAATCCCTTTCCCTCGTAACGCAACGAGAGAGAAAGCGCCCGCTTCGCTATCTCGATACGCGAAGGGAGTGAAATGGAGGGGGGACGAGGATGAACGGGGATGGGTGAACGGAGACTGAGAGATGATTTTGAACCCGGGTGGTGTGCAGCGGGATGGAGAATCGTTCGAGATTCGGGACGACGAAGTCGCGCGGATACGAGAAAATCGTGAACGACACACCGGAGAGGGGGATATAATATGTATATCGGTGGTATTTACAAGAAGTAAAAAGGGCGGGAGGGGGGTGGGGGCCAGAGAGGGGTGGGGGGTGGAGGGCTTAGAGGTGAAGAGACGTTTCGACGACTCGGTGGGCGAGGATCCTTTCGTCGAGCTTCGACATGGCCCCACCTTCGTTTCGAGTTCTATCCGTTGCAATTCAATTGCAACCGACTCGCCGACCGATACTCGATCCCGTCGATCGTTCATCGAACGGAAACAACAACAGGTTTATTTTTGTCTTTTTTTTTTTCAATTTCTTTTTTTTTTTTTGTTTTTTTATTTTTGTTTAAATTTGTTGGCGCGCATCGCGAACACGGATCGGACAACGGTCGAAACGAAGGCGGACGACGGGCAGTAGGAACATACGAAAACACCGGACCCAGACTCGTCGGAGGTCCGTTCGGTCGGTGATGAACGCCGAACGCAAAGGACGCCTTCCCGAGCGTCGATTTTTCGAGGATACGCGATTGTTGCCTCCGCGGCTCGAGCGTCCAAGATTTGGAACCGTTTCGTAACTGCGCCGGTGTGCACACTCGGGGGATAACACACGGTGGTGGTTGTCGCGTGTTCCTCTTGTCTGGGACGCGTCGCGGGAGGGTTAGTAGTTCGTTCCCGAGCGGAAGCCAGCCGGCATGCGCATTCAGTTCATCGATCGCGGGGCTCCTTTCGATCACGAGTGCTTCACCACGATCACGCCCGGTCGCTGCTGGGTCTGCTGCTGTCTGTGAAACTGGAGGAACTCGGCCTGCAGTAGCCGTTGCTTCGCCGTCGTCGGCGCGGACGTTGACGTGGACGACTTGGCCGTCGTCGGGCTCGCGGTTTGTTTGTTGGTCAACGCCAACGGCACGTCCTGCGCCGGCTCGTCGCTGAACAAATGGTCACCCTCGAGGTGACGTATCGCCTCGACGATCGTCTCCAGATTCTGCCGCGAGGTGTTCGCCAGATACAACCTCGCCTGCGGTGTGCCGTCGTCGAGCGAGTTCGACGGCGACGGCAACCTGTAATCAGAACGATCGTTCTTTTGGTAGGCGAATCGCTTCGAGCAGCCTCGTCTCGCGAGGTTACGCTCAAAACTATCGGTCTCCGACCGGACCAGTCGCTGGAATAATAACGATTCTTAAGATGAACGTCGCTCTGGGGGCGGATTTCTACGTCAGCAGATGTTTATATAGAGTTAAATGTCTATCAAAGATAGATAGCTGGATAGCACTTGGAGTCAAGATTGGGTCGTTAAAATATCCTTGATGATGAATTTCATAAAAATTTCTACACTTACCTCTCGACTTCGACCTTCGGTTCCGCTTTTATCGCCGCCTCCAGGACACTGGGTAGCCGTTGGGGTTCGGCAACCGGCGAGAACGGCCTGCTCGGGCTCGCGGTGATGTACTGGGGCGACGAGTTTTTGAATTCTCCTGTACTCGAAGCATACGTGACGCGACTCGACGAAGAGAACGAATCGGCGGTAGTTTGCTCCTCGATGGCAGTGAACGCCTGATTCTGGGTAAACGCGACGATCTTCGGGCTTCCTGGGCACATTACCTCCTCCTTGATGTCCTCCGGCACCATGTCGGCCGGCTGCGGCGACAAAGGCGGCGAACTCGGTTCCGGACTAGACGTTTCCACGGTTTGCGTCGAACCGACCGGTGGCAGAGACACCACTGAGACTACCTGGAGCGCGGCGACTGCTTCCTCGGTCTCCTGAGCGATCACGTTGTCCGTGTGTTCGATCACCTGCGCGTGGAAATGTGTGTCCAAAGCTTTGGAATTCGTTTCTTTAGTCCCTTACGATTATTACGAAACTGTACGATACCTCGTGTGGCTGATAAGTAATCAGTTGACTGTCCCGGAATCTTTCCGGGTAAAGTTGACTTTGTATAGCTCTCATCTGCTTCTCTAGATGCAACCTCGTGTGACGTTCCCTTTCCAACTGTCGTCTGAGCTCTACCACCTCGCTGTTGACCACCGAGTGTCCCTCTGTGGTCACCGTTATTACTGACAAGGGTTCGGGAGACATGCTGCCCAATCCCTCGTCACCACTCTCGCTAACGTGCATCGGTAGACTAACGACCACTCCTCCTGAAACAATATTCATTATTATGCTATCCCGAATACTTCCTGAAAAATAGTCCGCAACGCCTCGGCAGAGTGTTATCACTATGAGCAATGATCTCTAGAGCGAACCATCCTCTTTCCATCTGGCTCCATAGCTAAAGGAGAGTAAACGAAGTTTCGATCCTATCGATCGGATCGCGACTTTTTCCCCTCCCGCGAACAGAACAGAATATCCGGCCGACCACCAAGAATGTAATTACTCTCGCGAAAATGACGAACGACTCCGCCATATTAATCTTCCCGCTGCTTTCGGCAGACAAATTAAAAAATTCCCCGACGAGTCTTCGGCGATGAGACGAGTCGGTAGCATAAAGCAAGTTATTCCAATCACGCGGGTAAATTAGTGACGTGTCAGCAAATTGTTTTTCTCGTGAACGATTTATTTACCCTGATGCTTACCCTGATTATCCGGTTTGCGTTTCTTAATTGGAACATCGCCACCCTCGTGCTGGTTCACCAATCGCTTCAATTGACAGTTTTGTGATAGCAGCTGTGTTTTCTCTTGCTCCAGCTGGTATATGTACTCGGCAGTCTGTTGAAGTATCGCAGCCTGAAAGTAGAATAGAGAAACATCGTCTCAGTAAACGGTCCATCGTATTAGTTTTATTCTACACAAATATTAATCGTTTCGTGGTGGTCTTATTCCACGCGGTTCTTCTCGTTTCGCACGCTGTTTAGTTCTCCCCCGACGTTTAATTATCGCAGAAGAAACAATCAATGGTGAGAGAGCAATTTGTAAGCATCTACGAATTACGAGCTAGAGAACGCTACGAGGAAGAGATCATCGTCGTGAGAATATCGGTCCCACTGTTTAAAATGATAATTCGTAGATGAGAACCATGTCTAACGAGTATAAATCCGAGGGAATAAATTTCGTAATACATTTCATTTCTGCTCTCCGATGTATGAAATTCTTTCTCTGGCAACGACTTATTTACGTAATTTTCTTACAAACTACGATCCTCACCGTGATGAATTCTTTTCTACCGGACGCGACAACGATCTATCATATCCCGTTTGTCATACGACTAAATATCACCGTTCTTTCTTTCACAGCTCTGCTTATTATGTTCTATAACTCATTCTCTCTTCTTGAATTATTCCTGTCACCTTCGGCGTACTTTTATTTTACTATTTATTATTTTCTATTTCCCCTTCTCACTTATTATTCTTTTTATCTCATAAATAGAATAAACTGTTATCGTTGTTGGCCGGTTTAACGTTGAGCCTCGAATTCCGGGATTTATCGTGTCGCGGATTGACGGGCGAAAAAATAAGGGCGGAAACGTGTTTGGTTCGGAAGTGCGTGACTGATAAAAACGAATCGAAAAGCAGGCTCGTTTAAAATATGAGAAACGGGAGAGGAATTGTAAGTGGGCCACGCATTTAAAAAGAATCGTGGGTCACAATACGCGCGACGCAGGTGTTCCCTGAGCATTATTCGTAGCCTACGTCGATGGGTGGAGGGGAGGGAAGGACAGAACTTCCTGTTTACATGGTACGGTCTTTAAAGGGTTTTGCTCGAAAGGGTGGAGGGGACGCCTATGGTCTGCTCGAGTCGATAACATCCGGAGAGCCGGACTATCGCGTGTCGCACGTTCGTACTACGGCGTAGTAAAACGGGAACGGTCCCGTGGAAGAAGCAGTGAAAAGAAAAGGGCCAATTGATACCGACTCGAAGGTAACGGGCTCGGGCTCGGGCTGTACGTTTCGCACCTGCCGACAGGTGGCCAACGAACAGATGCCCCCGGAACGTAAAACTTCCACGCCGAGGAACCAGCGTCTTTGGTCGTTTCTGGAAAATCTACGTCGTCGTTGGCTCAATTTTTAAGCGGCAGAAGAGTATAAAGAAATATCACCGATACTCGCTCATTACGATATCATATCGACCGTGGTTTACGAAACAAATGGAAACGTAAAGAAGATGCACGTGGACAGGGCGAAAGGAAGAAAGAACGCCTCACAAAGAAACATTGCGTGCAACGCAAGGAGATCTCTCTCGCGCGGGGCACAAAGGCAAAGAATCTTTTTCAGAAAGTACCCGGGGGGGGAAAAAAAGAAAGCCATAAAATACGAGGAACGAAAATACGAGGGACGCGGCAGAAAAGGAATCGAGGAATCTGTTCGCGGCAAGAACGACATTTCACGAAGAAGGAAATGAAAGGATTTCGCTGAAGATGGTGGGAAGAAAAACTTGTCAAACGTAACAAGATAGATTGAAGCAGTGGGATAAGAAATTGCAGGAAATGCTTGGAAAGGGCAACAAGAACAAAGGCGAGGGAAAAAATGAAGGGAAAAGATAAGGAAGGAAAAAGAGAACGCAGGCGTCCTTGGCGAGATTCAATAAAGGAAGACTGGAAGAGAAATATTACACGAGGAATGGAAAATGATGGTCCAAGAAAGGCCGAACTACGGTCGCAAAATCCAAACGACGAGAAAGATCTTTGAGAGTCAAACGAATTTTTTAGTTAAACCACGCGGCCGTTGAATAATGTAAAGGTGTATTTATATCGTTGCATCGATCAAATTCAATATAGATTACTTACAAATAATATTTCAAATTGACGGGTTTCGTAAATCTCATGTTCAATTAGAGCATCGTCTACGTTGGACCAGCATTGTACTTTGAGAGTTGGGAAAAATTAGCCTCGTTTGATCGATGATACAGGTCATTTACAAGTAAATGATGAAACTGTTCAATTTGTTCCAACAGTCATTAGCAGTAAACGCATTAACAGATCGAAAGGTCGACAGCCATTCTGCTGCAAGTAATAAATCATTGTATTGTTTGCCTAAGAAGTCCATTCGTTTAGCTTCGATGCTGCGCACTCTTTTTAAGTTTTAAACTAGTGTAAAGGTTAGGAACGTGTTTCTTTACTCTTTTGGCAAAGTTGGCTAGTTAAATTTAATTGCATTGTTAAATGCATGTGAGTAGAATCTCGGATTAAAATTTTTCCCAGGGGTTGCCGAATATATTTAGAGATATTTAACGCGTCGGTATTCTTGATCTCCCCTGTCGTCGAAGCGAGAAACGAAACGAAGGAATCGGTTACAAAGGATACAACATTTCTGGGAAGAAGACGTCGAGAAAACACAAGCTGAAGGAGACCACGGACCAGGACGGTCGACCAGGTCAGAAAGCTCCCTCAAAGGGACGAAATAAAAGGAGCGCATGGGCGCGAGGAAAAGGGAACGAAAATCTCCGAAAACGAATTGAAAAGAAGCGAAAGATGGTCTCGCGGGAAGGGGAAATTGAAGGTGCACCGCGATAGGAACATGGTGGATGTCACGAGAGAGAGGATAAGGAAACCACAGAGCAGCGAAGTCTTAACGCGACAAAGACGAAAAAGGAGAAAGGGTGTCCCGACTATAATATCGCCAGCCAGGGCGACCGGATGCGAGTCCGGCAGTTCTTATTATTGCGTTTGCGTGCAACCAACACTGCCATGGATACAAAGGACTAAACGAAAAGACCGCCTTTTGCACGCTCTGTTTTCTTCGCGAGGCTCTAACCGAGCAATTAAAACCTCCGCGTTAACTAACAACGCACGTGATCGAACCTGCACCGCCATTCAAACACTAGAAAACTGGATGGTCAAAGAAAATCAATCGGTTAACTCCAAAGTTAATTCCAAAAAAAGGCGTAAAAGGTGCTGCTCTCGTTCGAAGGATAAAAAATCGTGTCAGAATTTTTACGAGCATCCAATAAACGTAGAGATAGAAATCTCTGCGATAATATCTCGTTACATTTCTTTAGAATCGCATTAAATCAGTCACACGCAACCAGTTCGAAACGAGGTATCAGATGTTCTTTATTGCTCGCTTCCAATTCCCCGCACAGGAAACGTTTCCCGTCAAGAAATTGCCCGCTTAACGACTCAAAGGAACACACTTTAGATTACGCATACTTTATTGTCTCAGATCGTAATGACCATTGTGCCAAATAATGGCAGCGTTCACTATAATCTTCAGCTTCCTTGAGAGCTGGATAGAAATAACCGCATCAACCAATTTTCAGGCCTCAGATTAGATTTTCGGTAATGAATTTTTTTCTCGAAACTGCGTAGGAATTCAGGGATATGTCTATTGACCAAAAATGATTGTAATTCACCCCTACAACTAAAAATAATTTTTTTAGAACGATTTAGAATTTTTTAATTTTGTCGAAAAATGTTGGGCACCAAAATTTGTTTTTCATTTTTAATAGTTTTGTTCGGCGTCGTACAGAAAAGTTGTCTAATACTTTTTTGAAGGTACCCATGGGCTCTACTTCGGAAATAAATTTCAATAAAATATATTCACTATTGTAGGAGTTATGGCTGTTTGAAAATTGGACCAATTATCCGGGGGTTTTCCTCAGTTTACGGAGTTAAGGACCAACTTTTCGAATATTTTTACAATTTCTACATATTCTTCGTGAAAATACGCGTAGTTTGCTTTTTTTTAAATTAAAATCCGCCGATCCGTTCAGAAGTTATGACGTTTTAAAATTTTACTTGAAATTTCAGTGAAACATCTCAACGGTATGGTCAGACATGAAATATTTTCGGTAATGAATTTTTTTCTCGAAAATGCGTTGGATTTCGGGGGTATGTCTATTGACCAAAAATGATTGTAATTGACCCCCACAACTAAAAATATTTTTTTTAGAACGATTAAAAATTTTTTAATTTCGACGAAAAATGTCACACCTTCTCGAATTTTTTTCTCGAAAGTGGGTAGGATTTCGAGGGTATGCCTAATGACCAAAAATGATTGGAATTAACCCCTGCAACTAAATATAATTTTTTTGGTATGATTTGAAACTTTTTAATTTGGACGATAAACTTCACATATTCTCGAATTTTTTTCTCAAAAGTGGGTAGGATTTCGAGGGTATGTCTAATGACCTAAAATGATTGGAATTGACCCCACAACTCAATGTAATTTTTCCAGAAAGATTTGAAAATTTTTTTGTTCGCCGAAAAATTGAGGCACCTACCCCCTGTCGATTTTTCTTAACAATTCGTTTTTCATTTTTAATAAGTTTGTTTGATGCCCTACAGAAAAGTTGCCTAATACTTTTTTGTAGGTACCCATGGGCTCTACTTCAGAAAAAAGTTTCATTGAAATATATTCACTATTGTAGGAGTTATGGCTGTTTGAAAATTGGCCTAATTTTACGGGGTTTTTCTAACTTTACGGGGTCAAGGACCAACTTTTCGAATATTTTTACAATTTCTACATACTCTCCGTCAAAATACGCGTAGTTTGCTTTTTTTAAAATTAAAATCCGCCATTCCGTTCAGAAGTTATGACGTTTTAAAGATTCGCATGATATTTCGGGGAACGATTTCTGGCCTCGCATTAGATTTTCGGTAATGAATTTTTTTCTCGAAACTGCGTAGGATTTCGAGGGTATGTCTAATGACCTAAAATAATTGTAATTGACGCCTGGAACTAAAAATAATTTTTTTAGAACGAATTGAAATTTTTTAATTTCGACGAAAAATGTCACACCTTCTCGAATTTTTTTCTCGAAAGTGGGTAGGATTTCGAGGGTATGTCTAA